CTCCGCGGTGAGCGGTGTTGGGAGGATGGTTGTGAGTAGATTCTCATCTTTTATTGGGATGGGGGCCGTTTGGACAACACTGGCCTAGGCACTGGCAGGACCACCTGCTTCAGGCAGAACCAACTTGATTAATTCATTGGGACCAGAGGGTCATGTTGAGAATCCAGCCCCTCAAATGAAATCAGAACAAAGGGACTAGAACATGTTTTTTTTTCATGCTTTGTCCCTATGCTTAACACCGATCTCCAGAGATCTCGATGGCGCTGTCTCTTATAATTTTCCACAGGGCAGTCAAGACAGACCTTTTTCGTAGAGCATTTGATTGCTGAAAATATAGAATTGCTTGTGTTTGTTGTTTTTTTGGGGTGGGTAGGTGTGTTATGATTTTATGCATTTTGTTTGATTGTAAACTGCCATGAATCTATATGACATTACTATAAATATAGTCAATAAGTAAGTAAATAAATAAGCATTTTGGTTCTGTTTAGTGATAAGGATGAAGTATATGTGTGGATTGAAAGTATTTCTGTTTCTGGATGCAACAAAGAGTAAAGTTACTTCCATTTTGTGCCCTACAGGGTATTTCTTCAATTGGCCTTTTGACATTAGAAAGGAGTTTTTTGAAAGGAGAACTTAACTGCCCCCCCTGCAGAATATTCTATTATACTTGAATATAAAGTGATAATAATTTCAAGTGTCTGTTATTTAAAAAGGAACAAAAGCTGCTTTTGCTCTTCAACTCTTTTAAGAACATTATGGTTCGTACAATGGAATATTGTTCTTGACATTCTGTGTACTGTTTTCAACCTACTTTTTAGGTAGTTTGCGGCCAATTTCTCCATGGCGCTGGCTTTTTTCGATCTTGATTCCACTAATAATTGCTTCACGAGGATTTAAGAAAAAGAGTCTTGATCATGGTGGAGCAATAGGAGGTATGGCCTTATCCCTTAATTTTGGTTGTGTGTATAGATATTTTGAAATGTAAGCATTTTCCTTCATCTTTCAACTGAGCATTACATATTAAGATGTGTTTGTTTTTCTTTTTTGGCATTATGCTTTTTTAAAATTTTACCTGGATGTGCAAGTTTTCTGTTCCTATCACATTTCAGGGATGAGCATCTGTAAATCTTATATTTATTGTTTGATGTAGAATTTGTCAAATTCCCTTCTGCATCCTGGATGACAAACAAAGTAGAGATCAGAAGCTGGCCTCTCTCCAAGCCTGTGCACATGATATTTTATCCCCCATATGATGCTATCTAATCTAAATATAGGGTATATTAGGGTCCATAGAATTGGGTTTGTTATGAGTTACTCATTACTTGAGCAGATATTAATGTTAAAATTAAATACTCTCTCCCCTACATATACATACACATACAGTGGGGCAAAAAAGTATTTAGTCAGCCACCAATTGTGCAAGTTCTCCCACTTAAAAAGATGAGAGAGGCCTGTAATTTTCATCATAGGTATACCTCAACTATGAGAGACAAAAT